TAGATTGGCAGCAATAAAAAGCAGAAGTTTAAAAATAAGGTGGAATGAATAAAACAAAATGTACATCCAACTTTTCACTAGGTAATAAACATCCAGAAACTTAAAAAAAAAAAAAAAAAGAAACAAATGAAAAAGAAAATAAAAAAAAAAAAAAAAAAAATAACCCAAAAATTTAAAAAGTAAAAAAAAACCCAAAAACTAAAAAAAAAAAAAAAAAGGTTCGCACTGGTGCTGGAGTTCAAGTTGACATCAGTGGAATCTTCCCAGCAAGGGCATTCTTCAGACAGAGCAATACCACAAATAAGGCCCACATAATTTCAGATGTGAAACAGAGAACATAAAACCATGAAGATGCCTTATATGAGGTAAGCCCATTGGTCCATTTAATCCAGTATAATTTGCTCTGATTTGCAGCAGGAGTCTAGTAGAAGTCTTAGTTATCCGTTGCTCCCTGACCATTTGACTGGAGATGCCAGGGACTGACCATGGGATTTTCTGCATGCAAAGTGGCTACTCTCCCTTCAGCCATAGCTTGTCCCTCCAAGGGTGAGCACAAGGTTCAGGCAGGGTTGTGATAGAAAGCAGTCTCAAAATTCACCTTTTTGTTAGCTATTCCAGTCAGTAGGCATGATGTCTGATGTGCTGTATTTCAATAAAAAGAAATTTACTGTGACCATTGCTCTATTTTTAGTGATGGCCCAGTATGGTACGTTGCAGTAGGCAGGGGAAGGCGCTTTGCATCCCAACAGATAATTTTCAGCAATATTATTATTTTATAATATTGAACTCTCTCATCTTCCCTTTGTAAAAGCAAGAAAACAGTACTAAAAACACCAAGTGGAACAAGTGCAGGGTCTTTCAGTGAAAAGTGAAGGCTTGCACTTGGAATTTTAGTTTAGCTGGTTTGTTTAAGAGCAGACAGTATATATTGTTTAAGAGCAGACAGTATATATCTACTTTTGATGCTCCCTTCTGTTTCAGAAGTAGCTTGCTGTGCAATATTGGAATCTGTAATTTGAGAAAAACGTCTACACTTTATTGAGCTCACAGAACTTGTTCCATGTATGAGTCTTTGTTCCTGTTCAGCTGTTCGGTTGTGTTCAACTAAGCAATCCCACAGGCCAAATCCCATCACTTTCCGATCCCATGCCACCTGTTTCAGCTGAACTATGTTCCGGCTCACATCCTCTTTGACGGATTCTAACCACCTTGCTCTTTGGCAACCTGGTATTCTCTTGACACTGAGCATTCCAAGCATTATATCTTTTTCTAATGAGCTTGAGTGCATGACGTGGCCAAAATAAGTGAGTCTCAGCTTTGTCATCTTGCTGACCAGGGACATGTCTGGTCCCTGATTCTTTAGATACCTGCAAGTTAGTAAAATCAAGGCAAATAGTCTCTTAGGCAGTTCAGGACTAATGATGATAAACACAGAGGCAATGGGTTTTAAATGTTTGTTGAATAGCAAGCAAAGTAAAATAAATGGAAAAAAGAAAAAAACCCACTATTCTTCAGGAAGCCTTTAACTGAATTGCTGTTGGTTTAAGTTCAGTACTGAGTTTTGATGCAACAGAGAGCAGACTACTCATTCTATAGTCTGTGATTTACTAATGGCTGCCAGTATACCATTCTCACTAAACTACTGCTTTGCAATAAAGCTGCTTCCACAGTCTGAAGGTACTATTTTCATTTGGTGGCCAGGATGAATGCTCATAACCACTCCAAATTATTTACAGAGGAGCTTAATAAAGACAAGTGTAGACTTAAATACAGCAGTAAGCAATGTCAGCAACGCATATAGGAAATATTACTGGGGTCAATGTATTTTTTTCACTATATATTGATAGTGTATACATATATAATTGTCCCAGCAACAGAACTGGAATGAAAATTTAACAATCTCCATTTATTATACTTTAATACAAGCAGCTGTAACTTGGAGCACACACATCAAAGTGCATTTGTTAAATGTACATAATGTCCAAGAGAACTTCAACAAATTGTTCCATCTTAAAAGCCAACTTCAATATTTACACAATTTCCATTATATTTTTGTTAGACCATATTTTGTGGCAAAATGGAAACAATCAGTGACTTAAACAAATCCCTTAAAACTGGGCAGAGAGTATCATTTTTGTATTTGTTGTTTCCATTGTTGACAATGTTGATAAGTGTTCTTTTTGGGATATATAAGAAAGACTATAGAAGAGCAGAACTAAAAAAGTATCAGTAGTAACATGTTAAGACTGTAAGAAGAGCCCTGCTAAATTAGGCCAAGGTCCTAACTAGTCCAGCATTCTGGTCACACAGTGGCCAGCCAGATGCCCCAGTGGGAAACTCGCAAGCCTCTCACTGGTGGAGAGCGGTGCACTGCCTCTGGTACTGGACAATTCCATTCAGGCAAATAGTGGTTAAATTCTATTAACCAAAACATTGCTTGAACAAGGAATAGGCGGCATGGTCAGTGCATAGGTTAGGATGGTTAAAGCCATCTTGCAATATTGGGTCATAGTTCTGAGAAAATAGCTACTCAGTTTGAAATAGTTTTGAAAGTACTGAGGAATTTCCTCAGGAAACAGATTAGACTGAGCAAAACATTAATTTTTTAGATACTGAACCTACCCCACTGGCTAATAAGGTCTAGACTAGTTGTCTAGACTAGTTTTAAGTTTGCAGTAGTTTTTTCTAGACTAAATTTAACTATTGTTTGTAACTGTTTGGGAGATAAAATCCAAAATAATTTTTGGGGTTTGTTTAGCCTAGAAGAGCTATTTGAATACTAAAGCTTGATTTCAGATGTAGGTTCATGCCACAGGACTGCACAACCAAATTTCACCACCTTCCTTCTCTAGCTTCCCAAAAGTGCTACATAAGCACCCTGCTGAATGGAGTATTACTGGTGCAGCAGGATTCCCAAAAACTAGGTGGAGGCACCTTCTCCGAGCAGAACCATATGCAAAGAAGACACCTTTGCTCAATTTTCATGGATTTTCTTCACCCTTCTGTGTCATATTTGCAGAGTGCTGGCAATGCTGCTATAGAGGGGGATAAGGAAGTCGGCTTCCACCAACTCAGCAGCATGTATCTAATCCTGGATCGCAGCCCCACAGATTTCACATGTTAAAAGGCATAAGGCTTACTCATTTATAGCACACTTTTCATTCAAAAAACTCATGGTGATGTGCATGACCCTGGAGTGCTACAATTTCATCCTTTCTTTATTTTGCCATAAGTTAGACTGAGTGACTGACTGACCAATCAAAAGTAGCTGCATAGCCGAGTGCAGAGTTGCTCAGGTCCACGTATAAGCAAGCAAGCACAAAATTACCAAAGGCTCAAAAGACATGGCATAAAATAACCTAACATAGCAAATTCTTGTGGACAGAGTGATTCCACTGTGAGCACAAAGTAAACCAGCCAACTGAGCTTACTTACTCTAGTGCAGAAGGAACTGTGTATACTAATGCCTTTGTATACACAAAGCTGCTGCTTCTACTTAAGCAACAGTGCCTGTACGGAAGGGAAGTTCAAATACATACCTGGGTCCTTGTGGAATGCTCATTTAGAAACACATCAATAGACTACCCAGTCTTTCCCAACCTGCTGATCTCCAGATGTTCTGGGTAGAACTTCCATCAGCCCCACACAGCAGTACTAATGGTAAGGAATGGTGAAGGTTATAGTCCAACATTAAGAAACAGGAAGGCTGAGTTAAATAATGCCAAAGGAAAATAGGAGGCTTTGATAGTCATTTCACAGAATCAAGCAAGATAAACAATGGCATGTTTCAAGGATCTGTACCAAAGCAGCAAAGGAACAAAATAGCCAATATAAATACTTTTGAAGTATCTATAACACTGTATGAGGTTTGTGGCAGATTTTTGAAATTTTGTCTGCCTGTCAGAGACCAGGACCACAACCCCTCATCCACAGAAGATAGTATGGAATTCACAAGTCAGAGAGAGGATTCATGTATATAAAGACATTATAAGGCTTCTGCTTCCCTGGAACTAGGTTCTTCAAGAAACCCTCAGGGTGGCTGTACCTGTTCATCCAGAGGAGGCTGCATTGCCATTCCTGAGCTGTAGCCAAGAGGAGTGTGGCCAGCCCACACCATTAAAGCCTGAAGCTGCTAAAACTGACCAGGCTCCTTTAAGAGAAAGCTTTGGTCTGTATGGATGTGGGTTCAACGAGCCTAAAGGAATGCATACTTCTATTTACCCTGCCCTTCTACTAAAATGGCACTCAGGTCAATTCACAAAAACAAATGAGATTAAAACACATTAAAATACAACAAAAACATGACAATGAAAACATGGCTTCATTTACAGGACAAAGACCTTCTTGATGTCTTTCTTTCCTTTCAAAAGAATGGCAAAGGGCATAAATCTAACTTCCCCTGGGAGTTCCACAGCCAGGTAGCAACAGCTGAAAAGGCCCTCTCATGCATTACTAGCAGAAAGGCCTCTGATTATGGTGGTCTCAAAAGGAGAGTCTCTATTGGAATTTAAGGTACAGGAAGGCTTGTATGAGAGAATGTGTACCAGGTAGCCTGGTCCCAAGCTCTAGAGGGCTTTTGAGGCCGAAACAGCACTGTGAATTCTGTGTAGAAATGCACTGGCAGCTAGAAATGCTGCAATAAAAAGTGAGCCATGTTCCCTGTACTTAAGGCTCAGTGCCGATCATCTCCTTGTTGGAATAATCTGGTTTTGAGCTCTAGCATCCCTCAGAACTGTCTAAGGTGCATCCTCCTCCTGCTTCCCTGGAGAAAAACCAGACCCCCAGTGAGAACCTGTAATTCAGATCTTACCAGGGCATAGCAACATGATATCCTCATCACAACATGGAGTCAAGAGAACAGCATACTGCCAATAAAATAGTACTATTTTGCATGTTAAATGCAAGCATGTATATGGGTATTTAATCTTCCCCCAAATAAAAAGAATTAAATTTTAACCTAGTTTTCTGTATTTGACATTATTTGTTCAGACACTATACACTTGACGAATGTAAAAAATTTATTCAGGCTAGTTCAGTATGTGATCATAAACTGCACAACTAAAAACATTAACAGCACAGTAACCAAGTTAATGCTTTTTTGCTAATGAATTTAAAATAGTACATCTGCAGTCGTAAGATATACAACAGATCCAGCAATTTTACCACAGAACAAATTCCAAACCAAGCCACTACTCCGTATGTGAGAGAAAGTTTAAAAACCAGCAGGTAACAAAGGGCTGGTGTATATACCGTAAAGACCACGTAGAAGGCTCCTCCTTGCAATGACAAATGTTTTTGCAAGAGTTGTTTAATAGCACTGAAAACAGTTTGCTAGAAAGCTAGCATTTTGCAGTATTCTGCTTTAAATATAAATATATATCTCAAGAGTCCAAATGAGTTAAGCTTATTGTAATTTTTTTCAATACTTACAAGAAATGAGTGCTTGTATTTTTTAGTTTTCCACATAAATCAACATTTGAATACTTAGTCATTATGTACACTTTTATACAATTCTACAATAGTTTATTTCAGTATTTAACATAAAGCTTGCTACACAAAATTGTATTACTTTAAGTATACATTATTGCAAACATGAACCTCATTTTGTATTTGTTTAATTTCTGGTGAAGAACCACTTTCCTCTATGCCTTATATCCACTATGAATCTGAACATAATTTGAGGCTTTAAGAGATAGTGAATGGCTCTGTTAATTCTGCCAAAATAAAACCACCTGTAAACCTAGTCTGACCTTTATTATATAGGTTTTACAGGAATCAGACTGTAGTTAACAGTTAACATTGATTTACTAGTTTCAGTTGTCAAGGAAGAGTACATCCCTTATAAATCTCAACCCTGTCATATACCAGAAAGTCCACCTCACTGACTGGAATGGGGCTTCTGCATGTATATGTTTAGACCTAGAACGTATACACCAATCCTGCATATTTGCTTAGAGGGCCCACTAAAACCAACACTCAGTAAACAAGTGAAAAATGATATAGCTAGGGTGCCAGACAAGTCATAAACTTAACATTGGGAAACTACTTCTGGAACGTCACTTTATTTGTGAAATCAAATTTCAATGTATGTATCTGGACATATTGTCTTCTATGCACAGCTGCATGCAAAGAGCACCGATTTCTGAATCCTTATTCTGAACTCATTTCAAAATTTGCTTGTGGCTCTACAGCACACTGGCATGAAGTAACAGCTCTAATATTACAGCTTGTAGATTTCACAGGTGGCAAGCAGTTATATATAGTACAACTTGATTACAACCAAAAAAAAAAAAAAAAAAAAAACCCTGAAAGAAAATAATTGGTGAAACATATGAAAAAAATGCTGGTATTCCAAGTGTTTATCAAAATGAAGAACTGAGTTGACATTTGCAGTCCTTGAACAGAATTTAGACTCTAATTTTCATGTTTATTGTTTAGCTTCATCGGTGAATATGGAAACCCTTATTAACTGCCATTGCCAAGTTCTACTTGGCAATAAACAACTGAATATTTTTTTAAACCAGTTATCTTGGCTTGTGTAGCAAACTACTGTGCATTTACTGCAATAAGCATACAAAAGATAATTCAACTCTATCAGCAGACAATTTATTAACTTCACAACTGTTTGGCTTCTGTTTAAAAAAAGAAAGACAACATTTGCCTATAGGAAAATGATTCACATCTCTCCTGCTGCAAAGAAAATGCATCATTGAAAACAAATAACATTCTTAGGCTCAACAACTAAGGACGATTCACCCTGCCATAATAAAGTCCTTTATTAGTCTGGTGCATGCATGTGCACGCACACACAAAGCGGTCAGCAGCATCTCTTCCAATATCTGCTCCCATAGCCAAACAGAATTGTTACAATGCTTCTGAATATAGTCGATGAGTTTGTATGAGTGTGGCAGCCACAGTCATTTATGCACCTTCCTGCTCAGGATAATTTAAAATTTTCCGATGAGCTTGTCGCAAATATTGCTGCTGTTTGAAGTAGACTTTGAAAGCTCCTTTAATAGCAACAAAAGCAATTCCACCCTAAAAGAAAATTAAAAAAAAAAACACATTTATTTATTATTTAAAACATTTATATGCCACCCAATTGTGCCACAGCACCTCTGGGCAGCTCACAACCATAAGATATATATATTTAAGAAGCCACAGAACAAATTCAGCACTTTACATTTTTAGATTTAGTTTTAACACACACAATTGCCAAGCAGTATTTTCTTTGAAGTTGGGCTAAATGCAACAATTCTGTAGTAACTTTTGAACCATATAGCTCTGTCACAATGTAGCATTGTGATTTCTATCTTATATAAAAATAGTGCAAGCTGAGTTCACACATTTGGAAGTTTTTAATATAATAGTTTATTTGGGGGGGGTACAAAAGGAAAGGAATTATTCTTCGCTCAAAATTGATTTCTAAATGACAGCTGCACTCAAACAATCCTGTCAACTATTGTTTGGAGAACTGGAAATGAGCTGTGTGCTCAAACATCCCTTCTCCCTCATGTGTGCAACTAACTTTGAGCACATGGCTCCTTCCCAGGAGCCTGAATGCAGACTTTGCATGGTTTATGACATAGTATAGTTTTATGTAGGTAAGCCTCAAGCCTGACTGCTCCCCCCAGTGCCATCATAAAGAAGTAAGAAACATCTGATCCCATGAAACAGTTCGTCATTTCATCTGAACCAGGACAAAATGGCTGAGTTTAAAATGGAAGCAGATGCTTCAGATCTTTGTAGACATGTCTAAAGAAGATGAATAGGGAGAACAGTCTTGTAAAGCAATGCTAAAAATGTTTAGCAGTAAGTCTGGACTGGGCTTTAATGTCCTTTGGCCTAGGTATTTTGGCCTTGAGAAACAAAAAAGGCAGGTTGCTTACCTGCAACTGTCATTCCTTGAGTGGTCATCTGTGCATTCACACATATGGGTGCTGTGCTTGCACAGTGCCTGCATTAGGGAACATTCTCTTAGCTAGTAAAATTTTTGGCAGGAACTCTGCTCCCCCACCCCTTGTATAAATGGGTGGAGTCCCTGCCCTATCGGCAATCCAGCTGGAGACCAACTGTTCCCCCAACTGGTACCAACATGATAGAACATAATACATGATATATATGATAGAAACAGAATACACTGTATAACCCACTCAATGACACTGATGCAGGGCCAGTGGGTGGGTTGTGTGAATGCAAGATGACCACTCCAAGAACTAGAGTTACAGGTAAGCAACCTGCCTTTCTTCATCGTGGTCTCTGTGCTTCACACGTGGGTGACTAGCAAGCTTACTGAACTCGGAGGTGGGATGGTATTGTTATTGAAGGACAATCAAAAGGATGGCATGACCAAAAGAGTAGTCCATTCTAGCCTTTATGTCAAGATGGTAATGTCTAATAAAGGTGCATGGAATGAACCATGTAGCAGCTTTGTATAAGTCTTGTACAGGTATGCTTGCACATCAGGCTGTTCAAGTGGCCACAGATCTGGTCAAGTCCAATTTAGCGAGTTGGTATGAAAGCTCTATGGTTTTGACTATCCATTTGACAAGTGCTGGGATCCTATCAGTGTTCTCTTGTCCTGTTCAGAGTATAAACTGTTGTTTGGTTTTCCAGAATGGTTTGGTTTGGGATTGGTAAAAAGCAAGTGATCTGCAGGCATCGATACTGTAGAGTGACTGTTTAATTGGTGTTGATGGTGTTGGGAAATATGCCAGTAACACAATATCTTAAGATGGAATGTTATTGCCACCTTTGGGAGGAAGGTGGGGTTGGGTTGGGTCCATACAGAGGAACACATTTTCCTTATGGAAGTTCAAATACAGTGGGGTCAACCCAAAGGGCGCATAGTTTACTGACCCTCCTGGCTGAAACTTTTTGAAGAACCCTCGTATTAACATTAAGGTTAGTTTGATAATGCATGAAGAACTTTGAACACTTGTAAGCAGTATATAACGCACCCATTAAAAAATGAAGAATTAAAACATAAATATAATGCACAATGCAGATTTTTTGTAATCATAACTTAATGGGATGCTGGGAAAGGTATTACCACATAGAGAGAAGATGGAAAAAAACTTCTACAACTATGCAGATTTACTTTTTATAAAGAAAGAGTACATGATCTTACCAAAATTGTTCTTTGAAGATTAGAGTTAACACTGCTGAACATCAGCTTGCCAACTATTGTAGCAATAGTGGGAAAGACAAGTGCTCCACACAGAATACGTGTAGCAGAGACATGATCTGCTAGAGGGTTGGCCTCAGCTGGAATACGAGGAACAGGACATCCAATACCTAAAGAAAAATGCCGTCGCTAACCAAGAATTAGAGTGCACTAAACCACATTTGTATCATAAATTTAACTGCTTGGTTTCAATGAGCACTGAACAGTTTTAATGCCTTTGTTGTTGTTAGTCGTGAAGTCATGTACGACCCATCGTGACCCCATGGACAACATTCCTCCAGGCCTTCCTGTCCTCCACCATCCCCCAGAGTCCACCCAAGCTCACACCGACTGCTTCAGTGACTCCATCTAGCCACCTCATTCTCTGCCGTCCCCTTCTTCTTCTGCCATCTATTGTTCCCAGCATTAGGCTCTTCTCCAGGGAGTTCTTCCTTCTAATTAGGTGGCCAAAGTATTTGAGTTTCATCTTCAGTATCTGGCCTTCTAAAGAGCAGTCAGGGTTGATCTCCTCTAGGACTGACCGGTTTGATTGCCTTGCGGTCCAAGGGACTCGCAGGAGTCTCCGCCAGCACCACAATTCAAAGGCCTCAATTCTTCAGCACTCAGCCTTCCTTATGGTCCAACTTTCACAGCCATACACTGCAACTGGGAAAACCATAGCCTTGACTATATGCACTTTTGTTGGCAGGGTGATGTCTCTGCTTTTTAGTATGCTAT